GAGTTATAACTATGTAGATTATAATTCTGTATTGCTGTCCCCAACAGAAATAACTGCAATCACCTTCTTACTGTAAGGGGACTTAGGGCCTCCTATATGGAAGCCTGGTATTCTAACCACTCCACCAGCTGTTCCTCTAATCACAAAAGATTGCGTTAAAAAGAAACATTCTTTGTCTTGTTCTTAGGGTTCACTGGCTGTACACTCGTAAAAAGTTCTGGCTGTTCATCCACTTCTTGACTTTAGTCTTGTTCCAGAACTTGAATTTTGTGTACACATTCGATTAATAGATCTGACTTTTGTATGCAGACTGTTGGTTCCTAGCCTCTCAGAGTGCTCCAGCTTTGGAGGAAAAATCCCTAATGCCTTTATGGCATGCTTGTTAGGGAGGCAGTGGGTTTCTTCTTTTTCCCCCATAATGGAGCCCCACTGCCTATAGGGGGAGAATGACACATATATACACTTGGTTGAAATATTTTTAATACATGTAGATAAATTAATCCTACCACAGTTTATGTGTTCTTTTCCTGCCATTTACAACCATGTGAATAATCATTGTCTTATAGTGTTTGGTCACTCACATTATGTAGCTTTTGAAAGGACTATGGGCTATATGCATAAGTAAATTTTTTAGACTTGCCTCCATACATAGTGAATACAGATGACAAACATTGAATTTTTTTTTTGGTTAAATCAGCAGTATCAGTGTTTACAACAATAATTGTAGATGTTAAAAAAAAAAAAGGGTAGCAAGGGACCCTTTTCCACGCTATCAGGCATATTGGTCATGAAGTGCTGGACCTAGTGCATAAAGGGCTAAAATAGCCACTATCTTGATTTGTCTGACCAGTTTCTTACTGCTGACTGAACAGCTAAACCTGTCAACGAACGTGTCAGCTGAATCCTAACCAACTGGACAGTATACTGCTTTATTCCATAGAACTTCAACTGTGTTATATCTCTCTAATTATATTCATTCCTGTGTACTGTATGTAATCAAAGCTAAAATTGGCAACAGTGTAACATCCACAAATATAACCTGGCATGCTTGTGAGTTTAGCTACCTACCAACCAGTTTGTGAAGATTAGCCAGATTTTATAAAGTTTTTTGCAACTTTACAAATGCAGACAGATTTTATAATACAATTGGTCATTATGTTTTGTTAAAAATTTTTTGTTCCAAGTTCAGTTATGTCAATTCTTGGTTCATGCTTATCATGAGCACCTTTGTACCACTTCAGTGTTAAAGCAGAGATGACTTGTAATTTGCTTCTGACATTTGACATACTTTAATTATTTTAAAGAAAAAATGTCAAGTAGACTGATTCAGTGTTTCATTTTTAAAAAAAAAATGTCTGTCACGTTGTAAACATGTAGAGAGACATTGTAAATAGCCAGCCATTTCTGTCAGGACTGACACATGTCTCAGTTGCAGACTGAACATTTACCTCATCCTTATCATTTGCCTACATTTTTCTAGAAAACTCTCAGAAACATCAGTATACATTAAAACAAATGGTGACTAAAACAACAACAACTGACTTATGGAGGTGATGACGTCATGCAGTGTCTGCAGGACCAACAAACAACAGCAGTTGGCCAAAAGTTCTTTGCGGCTGTTCCAGTAGTGAGGTACAAGACCACTCCTATCACAACCCCATCTATTAAACAGCTCGTTTTTCTGTACACCAAATCCAATTGTATATACCAATTTATATGTAAGTGCCAGTTGACTTACATCGGTCTGATGGAGAGACAGCTTGGAAATAGAGTGGCAGAGCACATACTCAAATGGCTACATCCATAGCTCAGTAATTCTTCAAGGGTCTCGAGACCAGTCAAGAGGAAAGAACCCACTTCTTCCATAGGACGTCATCTACTTAATTCCGGACAAGTAATTGACACAGATAGTGCTTTCCATACGGTTTTTCACACTCCGAACAAGCGACTGTTGAGAATGACAGAAGCTTTAACAATTAAAATCAACAACCTTCTCCTTTGTAAGCAGACAGAATTTATAGTATATTTGAAGTTACCCTGGTAAGTCACGGCCAAAACACACACGATGTGTTGAAAGAAACTATTTGCATTTGAGTTAGATTTATTCAGTTTTGTACTTCATTTTATGTTGATGTATGTAACTGCACCTGACAAGATATAGTGAAATAAGCTTGGCAATAAATTGTGCAATGTATTGTTTGTATCGGCATTATTTAAACAACAAGAACAAAATATTTAAGAAATATGTAACCTTATGATGCCCCCAACCTAAATGTTTTTTACTGTTGAATGGAATGTCTGGGATTTGTTCCTGTTGGATTGGCAGTAGAAAAGTGGCTGTTTAAGTCGCTAGGTGTCAGACTTTCAGGCTGATATTATGTTAGGGGAATGCAGGGTAAGAAAGCTGTAAAGTAATTTAGGAGAGTAGAATATCCTGTTCAGATCTCACCACTGCTTGTTCTCTTGAACACCCTTGAAGCATGCTCTGCCAGTGAGCATGGTTGTAGGGCTGGGATGGCAGGATTATCATTTAGATTTAGAGCCACATGACTCAGTGCCATCACAGACTATTCACGCTAGGAATTGGTTTATGCCCTCCAACAGAAACAGCTCCATCTCTTTACTGGAGATTCTAACCTGTCTCCCAAATGAGAGAACAGCATTTTAGCTGCCCATGCCAGAGACGCCTGGAGTAGAATTCCCTAATCTTTAAGGAAGTTTCTTGCCGTTCATTTTTGGTTAGTCTCTGTTGTTAGTCTTCATTCATTCTGTAAATGACTGTGGATACTTTAGTGTAATTAGTGTCAGGTTTATTCAAAGTGGTGACATCTGTATATTACATCATAAGGACATTAAATAACAGAATAGGGTCAGAAGAAAACAGAAAGTTGTATGTGGAAGTTTTAATATCTGGGAAACATGTACTATTATAAGTAGCATCATCTCCATCAGACTATAAAGTGACAGAGTGGATTAGACATAATCTACTACAGGCCATACATTGAGAGATTTGGGACAGCTAGTAAATTGTTTATGAACGTTAATGTGGACGAATGGCTGTATAGTAAAGTATGTTTGGCACAAATTATTTACAGGTGTCTAACAGACTTCCTTTATTTCCATGCCTCAAATTGTATAAATACAATAATGTTTGAAAATGTGATGCCAAACCCTGTGTGTTATCCAAGGTGCGAACGTTTGTGTGAGTGTATGTGTGCAAATATTTGTGTTTCTGTTTTTAAACCACAGTGTTTCAGAATGAAAAGGCCTGTAGGTGTACCTAGCTCGGCAAGCCCTGGCTAAGTGTTACATTTACTGTTGTATTTCTCCTTGAACACGAAGGGAGATATGTCTGCTACTCAGTTGAATCACATTCTGCAGTTTCTAGTTAATGCTTATCGTCACCTACATACCTTGAGCCTTTGATCAATACAAGTACATAACTTCAAGCAGCAGTCTGCCTACTAAGACTGTCAGGTGTTGCTGTCAGTAATCTATTAGATGCAATTTGATATCTGCTAGTCTGTTGTACAAACCTAATTTGTCAACCACGTTGATTGTATACGAGTGGCCCATCAGTTCAATACATGTCTCATCAGTAAGTAGAAACATGTCTGATCCTTGCAGTTGTTCTTCTATAGACATCAACCTTGTAATTTTCCCATCTTTGGTGATCTAACCTGTTTTAGTGGGTGACTGACTTTCTACCCCACCAGGACATCACACAAGCGATAAACACCCGATGACACAATGTGGGTGAGGATCACCGTGGAGAGGTCCCAGAAACCCCGTTCAGCCTTTAGGCCATATCTATGGCCAGGCTATATTGCGGCCCCTGGCAAGAGCCAGAGTAGGGCTTCAAATAACAAAAAATTAAATCCTAAAAAGGACGAGAAGTGTTAAGCTATAGTTTTAGTGGGTTTTTTTTGGGGGGGGGGGGGGTGGGTTCAGTTTTATAAGGGCATATTATAAATAAATAAAGTGTGTGGGGTCTCCACAATGATAGTTAGCTATGGTGCAATAACTGCTGTCTTTGGAAATATTACATGATGAGGCTTGTCTCTTCCACAGTGAAATTCTCGTACTACTATACAAAAACCAAAACAGTTTTTTTACTGTTCGCCATGAATATCAGACCACGTCTAGTACTTGAGGATCATGAAATTGATTGATTGGTTTAAACTTAATATTTTTGTAATGACATACTGTATAGTTGGTTGTGAATCCTCTGTATGTGAATTGTATGTCTTTTGCCCAAAGTATTGGCTATTATGTGGTCTACTGCTTTAAAAGAGCCTGCGTTGATAGAGCAACTCTCCCTTCTGCCCCCTTCAACACTTTTTTCCCTCCCAGGATCACAGTTTGTAGGATTAACATCTCAATGATAAAAATTAGACAGGTACAAATCCCGGAAATCCCATTTATCTGTAATAGTCCAGTGTAGGTGGGTATGTGCTAGGCACTGTTGAGTGACCCAGTGACGTTCAACTCCACCAGGACCGCCCATCCAGCGGTTAACATGAGAATCAGCCAGATGCAAGTCCTAAAAACCTGTTTCAGTCGTCAGGTTATACTAGGGCCCACAACAACAGTCGTAGTGGGCCTTTAAAATTTCTAAACAGTTGCGTCCCATAAATTAGTGAGCACTGTTGGTGTTAAAGTTATAGATCTGGTAATACACTCCGTTGGACTTGTTTACTGTGTAATAGTAATAATAATATGCCTAATGGCAAATAAATGTAATACTGTATGAAGATAGCAAGTGTATAAACAGACAATTTGAAGGGAAAAAACTTAATGGGAGCTACTTCAATGTGTCTAAGCCTCAAGGTTTTAGAAATATTGTTAACAGACTTCAGTCCAGCTCTGTGGCCAAATACAACCATAAACCGCACAGCATAACTGAGGGTATTCTTATTTACACACGATTATTTATAACTGGGCATATATTGTTGCGAATTACACATTTTAATAACTATATTGCATTTTCTGTTTTCCAGGGTTCATGACATTTTCTTCATTTGGGCGTAAAACAAAACAGACTAGTTTTGCTAATGCAAGGAAACACAGCAGTGCTGGCAGTTCTGTAGCATATGAGAGCACGGTTGCCCGTATCTCTGGGACTGTGTTTGTGTGTGAGTACTGCCAGAAGAGTTTCACCACACTGAATCATTATGAAGGGCACAAGAATGCTAACCACCTGAATCTGAAACCATATAAGTGTGAACACTGTAGCAAGACGTTTGCACACAAGAACAGTCTGACCTTCCATCGCAGGTGCTGTCAAGGGATGAAGCAGCCAGATGGCCTCTTAGAACACCTGAAGTCTCTTTAGTTTATCGATGTCCACATTTCTGTCTTCTTCTTCTGCTTAGCATTCACTGTAAACTCCGGCCAAAAGTTTTGGTTGTTCATTCACCTCTGGACTTTATACTTCTTCAAGAACCTGAGTGTTGCACGCAGATCCGTTTTACAGATCTGGCTTATTTGTATGCAGTCTATTGGTTCCTTGTCTCTCAGGCTGATGCACTCCAACTTTGAAGGAAACCCTCAGTTATTTGACTCCCATGACATGCTTGATAGGGAGGCAGTGGGTCTATTCTTGTTTTCCCCATAATGGGCCCCCTAACCGACAGGTAAGATATCCATATTTGGCAGTTAGGTTGGGTTGTATGATTTCTCAGCCGTCCTACTAAGACAAAAAACATGTGTTTAATTAATTAAAGTAAAAACAAAAGGATAATTTGTGAACAAAGTTCATATGATGGTTGTCTGGTATCTGATGTAGTTAAAACTGCAGCATATGTTTACATAATAAAGATGACAAGAATTCCTCTTCCTATAGTTCATACCCTATGGCTTTGGTGGTCATGTCTATCCACAACCTCCTGTCTCGAGTACTATCCGGTATTCCTTGGACAACTAGAACTGCCAAAGAACATCATAACCATGTACCACACAAGCCAAAGTGCAGTAAGAAGACAGCAGGGTATATCAGTTATGTTCACATTCAAGAAATATGAGAGACAGGCATGTGTGCTCTGGCTACTTTAATCCAACATTTATATAGACAGAATGCCTGAAGAAGGAAGTTCTAATACAATCGATATAGATCATTATAATCACAAGTAAGTACACATATCAGGCGAAGTAGTCGACTCACCCACATAAAAAGGAGCCTGGTCTCCAACGAAAAAGAAGGATTGCCAGCCACGTTAACAGGTTGAGCTCAGCATGCTGTAAATAAATACTACATGACGAGCAGTGCAAACAAAACCGAACAGTGCAAGTCGGAAGAACCTCTGAATGGTGCTGGTCGGGAACAAGTTAGGGAACGTACTATCTATGAAGCGTGATCATGGAAGATGGCAGAACTGACAGAGGTAGAAATCAGATGTCATCATCATCATCGGGGGAGGGGGGAGTCGATTGCATTCAACCTGCTGTTGAACCAACAGTCTTCGGTTATATTTGTAGTCAAGTTTATTTGGGTCACTTGCGTGGTCAAGATTATGGTATGTGCATATAACAGTGATGTGAATGAAATGGTTGATGAAGCCTGACGTTGATTCTAGGCGTCACTTGTAGTGCGGTGAGGCTGGGCTGAGTTTGAATGGTGGATGAGGTCTGGTGCGGGAATGTATCGGATATTCCGCGTACCGAACTCAAATGCTTCCTGCAGATTGACGTGGGGGGGGGGGGGGAGGATGGGTCAGGGTTGATGTGAATGGCTCTCTTATGCTGTTAAACTCATGTGCTCAGTGATGAAGATTGTTGTGGGCTGGTTGGAGTGCACGTATGGAGGCCCCAGGTGTCAACGAACCCATGTATCAGATGTCAGAAAGCAAGTGTATTTATATTATATACCCATTGTCACCATTATTCAGGTGTCTAAATATCAATGCAACAACAAAACTTATAAACAGCGTATTCAAACCACCACTGAGCTATTAGTGTCAAACTTGGACATTATCTTAAGCCTACATACGCAAAATCACCACCTGCAAGATGAGGTGCCTGAGGAAAAACCTCTAAACTATTCATCCAATACTGAGTGAATGATGATACTGTAAGACATATTGTGGGAACAGCACTTTATACTACATTCATTGACAAACTCATATCTCGTGGGTTGGTCATCTGGTTAAGATGCAGCAACATCGAAGTCGCAAGCAGAGAGATCTACAAGAGATGGTCGCGAAAAAAGATCTTGCAACATTAAAAGCACTTGACGCCGTCAGGGCATGACAATAACCAGTGCCAGCCAGTATGCACTGAATCGCAAATTATCCCCCCTCCCCAAGGCGCTTAATTAACGGCAAAAGTGGTTGATGACGATGATCATGAAACAGATATGTGCTGACTAGAATAGTGACGTAGCGAATTGTTGAAAATGACAGAATAATTCTGGAGAGGAAAAGGGGGGAGTTGTGTGCCGAATATGTACTGATTCGATGCGTACCACAACAGTATTATGAACAGATTGACATATGTTGATCGGGCGTCAAAGTTGCAGAGGAAATCAGAAGAGACGCAAGAACATACACCAACGCAAGGCCCGCCCCTGAGATCGACCCCGGCATTACGAAGTGCGTTCGCAACGCCGAAGCCACCGATGCTGACATCGTCATGTACCCTGGCGATAAGACATAGGGTTCAAGTTTCGCCATTTCACACGAGCATAGATCAATCAAATAAGTGCCCCCCCCCCCCCCCCGCCTCATAACAGTATTGTTAAGGCATCCAGATGTTTATCTCTTTGCCTTTCCCTTGCTCTCCATCACTCAATCTTGCCGGTCGTCATCAAGTTTTCGAGTCTGTTCTTATTCATAACATGTACACACACATACACACAAAACCACTGCAGTTTGTGTTTAATGTTTTTTTTCTAGTCAGTTTACGGTTAGCATCTGTCTCGAGGAACATATTTTTTTTTTTATATTTTTTCTGCTTTTTGACCATAGCCCACAAGTAAATGACAACAAGGGTTCTATGGAGTACTTTAAAACTTTCTCACCGTAATTGTTATCTTTTTCATGAGGACACATTTCTTCTCCTTTGTCCTTTTTTTTCTCTCCTGCTTTCTATCTCCTAATGGAGCATAGGCCCTCAACCAACTCACGCCAGGTCGTTCTATTCATTACTATTGCATGCAGCTCACCCCATGTCCTCCCCATGTTTTTAACTTCTCCTTTCTAGCTCCCTTCGCCATGTATCTTATGGTTTGCTTTACTCGTATGCCCCTGTGGGTTCCAGTACAAAAGCATTTTAGTTATTTTGTTCTCATGTTTTCTCAACGTGTGTCCTATCCAACGCCACTGTCTTTTCTTCACCTTTTGGTCCCCTGGAACATGTTTTAGTTCTCTTCCAAAGCTCAGCACAGTGAAACTGTCAAACCATTTAATTCCCTCTATTTTTCGCAGGCACCAGTTAATAAATGTTTACAGTTTATTAGTACTTACTCTTACTTAATCGCTCCTCTTCTACCTTGGGGTGTAGAGGTTTGCCAGAGAGATCGCCACACGTCTCTATCTGCAGTTTTCTTTCTGGCTTTGTTCTATTTCACTCCTCTGTCAGTTAGGGACTGTCGATGTTCTCTTCCCAGCTAACTATGGGCCGCCCTGAAGGTCTGATTCCCTGGTTCTTAGCCTGCCATGGTGGCCGATTTTCTCCCATTCTGCATACATGTCCAAACCATCGTAACTGTGACTGTTAAACTCGGGCTTGTAAGGCCTGGGTATCAAGATCTTGACGTATTGTCTGATTGCGGACTTTGTCCCTTCTTGTCACCTGGACCACCTTTCTCAGTTTTTAGTAATTGTTTCAATTGTTCTTAACATGTTCACCTCCACACATTTTCTAGTTCTGTGAGAGGTCGTCTTGTCTATTTTATTCGTATTCTGATATATATCTATCAGTTTCCCCATCTGTATCTACATTACTGCCCAGGTAGGTGTATGCCTTTTGGAGTGTGATACCATTAAGAGAAACAAGATTTTTATTTGTCTGGTTTATTATCTTCATTTTTTCCTTATGGATTTGTAGACCTCGTTGTTCCCCGTGTAGGTTCCGGGGCCCAAGTATGGGAAAACAAGAGAAGACCCATTGCCTCCCCAACAAGCATGTAGTAAGAGTCAGCTAGTTGGAGGATTCCTTCGCAGTCGGAGTGCATCTGCCCGAAAGGAAAGGAACCAACAGTCTACATACGCATGTGTTAGGTCTGTAAAACTAATGTATACGCAGCATTCAGTTTCTGGAACAAGACTGAAGTCCAGAGATAGATGAACAACCAGAACTTTCGCTGGAGTTTACAACTGGTGGACAGGAGGAAGAAGAAGACATAGTTTTTGTGATCTCGCATCAAGTATATTCAGTGTATTTTGCATCCGACTCCATGAGTGGGAGAGAAGAGAAATATCATCGTCGACGTCCAGGTCATCAAGCTGTTAGTTAGTCGTTACGGTTCCGGCATCACAGCAAACGAGCTTGGCCCATAACTGCTCAACCGCCTATGCCAGTGACTCCAGTCACATACTGAGTCAGATATGCTTGATACTTCAAGTGAATGCCGTAGCCATACAAATTGTCCTCAGCAAAATACACACGATTTGATATGGCAAACCATAAGGTTCATGCCTCCTTAAACACACTGCGAGACCAGGCGTCATCGCTGGAAAAAAAATTAATTCGACGAATAGTTAGGCGATGAGTAGATTAACACTATTCCTGACCCTTCTCCACATGTCCTCCGCTAAGTTGCAGCCACGGCCAGCAAATAAATAACAGCTATAGCACACGCCTTGTCCCAGGAACACAACAAAGAGAAATACATCACCTATCATTGCCATTATGTACGAAGCTGAAACAGCCAATGACCGATAATCACAGCTCATAGTGCCGCCAGGAGCACTAAACTCAGTAGTTCCGGCTGCAGACCTGACTTCCACAATCTTGTAACATCGAAACTGGAGAAGAAACTGCGGCGACGGTCAACATAAGCCAAGTTCTCAACCGTCACCCAATCCCTAACAGTGTCGGAGCCGGAAGTCATCAAGCTGTTTTGTAGGGCTCACGACATTCTGTTTCTGGTGTCCGCGGCTGCTGTCTTCATAATCAAGTCTATTGCCAAAAGAAATAGGAGAGGTGACAAAAGACATCCCCGTCGCACACCTGTTCTTATTTAAAATGTCCCTATTAGATTTCCCTCATGAAGAAATCAACATTTCATGTCTTCCTATGCTGATATTACTAAGTTAATAATGGTTTGTGGGTCACAAAGTGTCTCATCAATTTCCAGAGAAATTCCTTATCAATGCCGTGAAATATTTTATTCGT